CTCGGAAACTGAGTTTCCTACGACTTCTATTCATGGCGACAGATTGCAGCGCCAACGAGAAATGGCTTTAGCTGACTTTAAGTCAGGTAAAATGAAAGTTCTAATAGCTACTTCAGTCGCCGCTCGTGGCCTCGATATAAAAAATGTTAAACATGTCATCAACTACGATCTTCCGAATTCTGTAAAAAAATATGTCCCTGCTCGGGCGCTATGAAAAATCTCAAGCCTTTTTGAGATGAAATAAAATGTTGGGATGCGCAACTTAAATAAAAAGTGCCAATTGCCTGTGCCTAAACCAAATGAAAATCTCCGGTTAAGTCAAAAGACATGCATTCACGAGTGTGGTTTGATTACAATAGAATTCTTTATTTTAAGAATATTATAACTTAGCCTAAACCTTAACCTAACGGCTTAAACTAGTGGTAAGTATGTATTAGAAAAGGGGTAAGTATAAGTATATTTCAACAGTTTCGTTAATTCATTGTAAAAGATTATTGTAATAGATAATGTGTTCTGTAATAAGTATAGTATAGTGAAGGTAAGTATTTTTATAGCATAAAACATTTAAAATTCATTTCAACATTATTCAATTAATCTTTATTTTTTTTTAAGTTTATTTTTAACATATATTTTATTTTAGATTCGAAAGATGCTTGACCATGGCACCAAAAAAAGAAAGTATTGATAAAAATCTTTCAAATCAAAGAAATTTAAGTAAAACAAGTAAGGAAGGGTGGGAACAAGTAAGGATGTAACCGAACATTTTATACTCTCGCAAAGTCAAATGGTATACTCGTTTGAGATTTCTTTGAGGATTGACTGATATTTTCGGTAGAATGTCAACTATAGGCACTGGGGTCCACATATTTAGTACTTATGGGCTTGAACAGTCTTAATTCGATTTAGACAATTTTTAGTCACAAGGTGGCATACTTTAAACGTATTATTCACGCAAAGTTTTACCCCGATATAATCATTTTTGCTTGATATGCATAGTGGAAAGTGAAAGAATCAGATGGAATTGAAAATGGTGTTATATGGGAAATAGACGTGGTTGTAGTCCCATTCCGCCCATTTTCGCACTATGACATAGAAATATGAAAATAACGTTATGTACCGAATTTTGTTGAAATTGGTTAAGCAGATCTCAAGATATGGGTTTTTACCTAAAAGTGGGCTGTGCCACGCCCACTGTCTAACTTTGAACGCGGTTCCTATAAAGTTATCTCATACCATCCCAGAGATAAAATTTAATGTCTCTGGCGTGTTTAGTGCTTGATTTAGCGCGCTTTTAGTAGTTTTTAACAGTACCGTTATATGGGGAGTGGGCGGAGTTGCCACCCGATTTCAACTATTTTCACACTGTTGGTAGAGGTTATAAAAACATTTACTTCCAGTGAAGTTTGTTATTATAACTTTAGCGGTTTAGGAGATATGCATATTAAACCTATTAGGGGCGGGACCACGCCCACTTAATAAA